CCGTGCTGGGCGTGGGGTGAGCACCATGGGGGCCCGTGCTGGGCGTGGGGTGAGCACCGTGCTGGGCGTGGGGTGAGCACCATGGGGTCCCGTGCTGGGCGTGGGGTGAGCACCATGGGGTCCCGTGCTGGCGTGGGGTGAGCTCTTCCTTTGACACCCACTTCCGAGTGTGGCGTCCTGCAGCTGCTCCTACACCAGGCTGGGCACCCGGCAGCGGTGAGGTGTCCACCTTGCCCACCCCAGTCTGACCGGCAACTCAGACAGCAACAGAACACACCCTGAACGTGGCGCCCAGGCTGCAGGGGCCCGGGAGCCTGGGCCTCCTGGTGTCTGGGGAGCTCCGTGTCCCCTCGCAGGGAGTGAGCGTGCCCACCGCAGCCTGTTCCCCATGGGTCTGTGCGGCCGCCAGGCCCCCTCCAGGCCTCACCCCACGCTCCTCTCCCCAGGGCCCCCCGGGACCTCCCGGAAGGGAGGGGCCCCCCGGAGCAGCAGGCCAGAAGGGCAGCCTCGTAAGTTGTCACCTGATGGGGGGCGTGGCCGGGGGCCACCTGGAAGGGCAGCGGGCCGTGGCCCCAGGGAGGGAACAGAGGGGACCCCATGGTGGCCTGAGTGTGTTGTTGCCTCTCCCTCTCCCCACAGGGTGACGTCGGCGCCCCAGGACCTAAGGTACAAGTCAGCAGCTGTTCTGGACGAGCCGGGGCAATTGCCTCGGCCCTGGCTGTGACCGGGTTCGAGCTGTCAGTGCGCGTCACGGGAGAGGGCCGTCCGGGCCTCCTGTGCCCTCACGGAGCTTGCGTGCAGGCTGCTCTGACTCAAAAGATTCCAGCAGCGGCATGACAGTTTGGACCGGAGGGGACTCCTGGGGGCTCCATAGAAAGAGCGGGGCTCTCCAGAGCTGCCAGGGCCCGGCCCCGGCCCCGGCCCCGGCCCCGGCGGCTCCCAGCTAGGAGCGCCCCCATCCTGGCCCTGCCCACCCACAAGGGAGCAAGGCCGTGACAGACCGAAGCCAGGAAAGCAGAGCTCCCTGGAGGCCCGTGCTTGTCAGAAGCCACCACCCAACCAGGGCTCTGCCTGCCCTGCCCTAGCTGGGTAGCTGGCACACTGACATCCTTGTCTGGGCCAGAGCTCGACCCTGGAATCCCCCACCCAGCCACACGCCGTACCCCAGCCCAGGCAGAAACCATGGTTGTGTCCGCTTTAGTGAGGAAACCAAGGTGTGCAGTGGCCGTGAGCAGTCTCTGGTCCCTCACCAGCCCCTGTCCCTTCACTCTGGTCCAGGGACCAGCAGGTCTGTGCACCTCGGACCTCACCTGGCCCGTTTTCAGTGGGTGAAATTGTCTTGTGAAGTCAGGAGAGCACATGTTGCGTGTACCTGGTTCTGTGGAACATGGCTTTCCTGAGTTTCCAGACTTTGGGGGTGCATCATAAGGAAATGCGTCTGCTGGGGACACACACAGCCCTGGTTTGCAGCAGTGATGCTGTCTCTACCCCTGCAGGGAAGCAAGGGAGACCCCGGCCCCATGGGTGCACCTGGAGAGAGCGGCTCAGCCGGGTCCCCGGGGACACCGGGACCTCGAGGACCTCCGGGCCCCCCCGGGCCCCCGGGACCAGGAGTGCCTGCTGGATTTGTGCGTCTGCTCGTTCTTCCCCCAGGACCTGGGCTTACAGCCACAGCTCCCCCGCCCGGGCCCCTCCCAGGCTGAGCGCCCCTCCCCGGGTGGCCACCCCTGTGGGTGTTTCCTGTCCCCTGGCACGCCCCCCTCCTGAGAGCCCTGAGCAGCTGGCTGGCCGGTCAGGTGCTGGCAGGGCCACGGGGGCAGAGAAGGGGTTTTACGCCCTGTTGCCCGTCGCCGGGTCTGCAGCTGGGCACCCAGCCCTGCCGCTCCAGGGCTGGCACTGCTGCATGCACACACGCAGGTGCATGCTCACGGCCCCACAGACGGCCCCGTCTAGAGACGGCTGCAGCCCTTTCCCCCGCGTGCCCGGGGCCTGGAAGCACCTCCTTTAATAGGGGCTGAGACCAGGCATCCTTCCCGTGTCTCCTCCAGGATGACATGGAGGCGTCTGGGATGCTGCTCTGGTCCACCGCTCGAGGTGCCGCTGGCCCACAGGTACTGCCCACCGCGGGGGGTGGGACGGGCCGTGGAGTGCCCAGGACAGGGACGCCCCGGGACATTCCCCCTCCCTGGAAAGTCACCAAGTCCGGAAGTTCAGGGTGAGAAGCTGGTCCCCGGAGCCGGTCTGTGGGCAGCAAGCACCGGGCAGCGGGGCTACAGACGCGTGACTCCTTCTGTGGCTCTAATTTTGACAAGTTGTGAATATTTGGCCTGAATAGGATTGAGCCTATGGGTGCCCCCCACTTTTCTTCCAGGCATCTGGGTCCTAGTCAGATCTCGGGGTTTGATGAGATAGATGTACAGCACCTAGAGCCAGAACCCAGTGCCTCCTCTGCCGGGCTCCCCTGGGCAGAGCCCCTGCTGCCAGGCCTGCAGGGTGGCCGGCCGTAAACCCGGCATCCGCCTGGCTTCTCAGATCTACCTGCTGAGAGCACCACACAGTTCTTACCCAGAGCAAAGCCCATGAAGGATTGTGGCTGGCCAAAAGCAAGTTCCGTGGCGAGCTAGAATGGCTTTACTGCTGTTGTAACTTAGTGCTTTTCTTTCTTTTTCCCATCTTTCCGTTTTCCCCTCCCTTCTTCCCTCCCTCCTTTCTTCCCTCCCTCCCTCCCTTTTTTCGAGGCCGCCTCCCTGTGTAGCCTGGTTGGCCTTGTGCTGGGGACCTTACCTTTGGTGCGGCTGGACTCTAGGTGTGACCCACGCCCCCAAGGGTGGGGCATGCGCTGTCGCCAGCCTCAGGCCTGCCGGGCGCTGCCGGGCCAGCCTGGCAGCTGTCAGAACCCATCTCCTGTTTAGAATGACGGGACGTGGGTTTATGTGGGTGACAGACAGCAGGACGGGCTTGGGGGGATCCCGTGCACCCCAGGCCCGCCCTTGCTGGTGAGCCTTTGTGGGGGGTGTTGGCTCCTTGACCGAGAGCCAGATTTTCTCTGGAGTCAGAGCTGGCACGCAAAGGTGGGCGCATTCCCCGTGAAGAGAGCGTCTCGCGCAGGGCTGGCCGCTCTAATGCTGTGTCTCCTCTGCCCACAGGGCCTGCCTGGTGTGCCGGGACTTCCGGTGAGTGGGGCGGCCTCGGGGCCGTGGGTTTCCGGTCAGGGTTTGTGGGAGTTCCTGCAGAGCACAGCAGAAGCCTAATGGGAAATGGCCATGGCTCCCGTGGCCCCACCTTTCCAGAGCCTTGGGCGATGGTGGCTGCGTTCAGCCCGGGTGTTGGCATGTGGAGGAGCAGCAAGGCTGCGTGCCTCACAGAGCTGCCTCCAGCTTGTGCCCGGAGTCCCCGCCTTCCTCAGGCCGGTGTCAGGCTCCCCGGGAAGGGACAGGCCACACCAGGAGTGCGGCCTGCCCGCTGGGGACAGCCGCGGCCTGCACGCGCCCCGTGGGCACCACCCTCTCCAGCCGGAGCTGGCTTCAAGGGCAGCTGTAGTTTGTCACGGAGACATTTCAGAGGCCTTTGGGCCCCGCCCAGCCGCCCGGTGTGCTGGGACGGGGCAGCTCCGGGCTGGGGGAGGTGGAGCCCTCGCTCACTGAGCCCTCTGTCCGTCTAGGGGGATCCAGGAGCGATGGGGCCTCCAGGAGCTAAGGTAAGCACTTGCTCAGACGCGGGCAGCAGGACCAAGGCCAGAGCCCATCCCCACTGTCCTCAGGGCGGGGTCGCTGGGAGGGAAGGCTCCGGGTGAGACCTCCACGCCCCGCCCTCACCTCCCCGCTGCCTCCTGCTTCCTTGGTCTGCCTGTGCTTCGTAATTCACTACAAGCCTGTCTCAAGGTGACCCCGAGACACCTCCAGACCCCCTTTCCCTGGCATTCTCCAGGCTCTTCTAGTGGTGGTGGAGAGGGACGAGGCTTCCCTGCCCCACTCTGCCCTCAGAGTGCCCACGCTCTGTGGCCACGCCCTCCGGCTCTGACAGCTGCAGGGGGAGGGGGGGTGAGCTGGACCAGCAGACGCTGCTGCGGTCACATCCCACACTGGGGAAGGGTCTCCACAGACCCCGCCCTCCACGCTGACGTGCCGGACCCACTCTGTTCCAGGGAGAAGCTGGGGCGGATGGAGCCCGAGGATTCCCTGGCCTTCCTGGCAGAGAGGGCTCAGCAGGGCCCCTGGTGAGTGGCTGCAGGGGTGGGGGGCCGGGCACTGGGCGGGCATCGTGAGGACTCCTCTTCCAGGTCTCTGGGCACCTGAGTCCCCTCCAGCTGTGACCCAGGAAGCCAAGTGGGAGAGTCATCCAGGGTTTGGCACCTTCCCAGCCCCGTGGCCGGGAGCCGAGGACTCCGTGTCTTTATTCCAAGCCCGCCAGGCAGTGTGGTGCCAAGCGGCCTCCCGCTTCCCTTGGCGATGAACCATGTCCTTCCTTCTCTGCAGGGACCAAAAGGGGACAAAGGGAGCCAGGGAGACAAGGTGAGTGTGGGACCCCAGCTGAGGGGCCCCAGGGAGGGGCTGCGCCCAGGGGGCCAGAGCCGGGGCGCTCTCCACGCTGCGCCCGGGGGGCTGGGGTTGGGGCGGTTTCCATGCTGCGCCCAGGGGGCCAGAGCCGGGGCGCTCTCCACGCTGCGCCCGGGGGGGCTGGGGTTGGGGCGGTTTCCATGCTGTGCCCGGGAGACCAGGGTGCTCTCCACGCTGCGCCCAGGGGACTGGGGCCGGGGCGGTTTCCATGCTGCGCCCGGGGGGACCGGGGTGCTCTCCACACTGCGCCCGGGGAGCTGGGGTTGGGGCAGTTTCCACGCTGCGCCCGGGGGACCAGGGCGCTCTCCACGCTGCGCCCGGGGGAC